GACCTGACCCTTGAACCGAGGCAGCAAGGGGTGCTGGAGACGCAACACGAGGGAAGAGAGGCAGCAGGCGTGCCGCCGCAAGGCAAAAGCACAGGGTTGAGCTTACCATGACTAAGACGTGGGGGACGGGTGCGTTTCGTTTGTTTGTAGGTGTATGGATCGCCTAATGAGTTTGTCTTTGCACCGTTCGGTGTATGTTTTCTGTACACGTCAACCGGGACCACGCCAAAAAATAAATAAAACAGGCATGCAGTAGTCAGCCCCCGAGACAAAAGGCAAAGTAACCGCCATCGTGTTATGGTCTCCTGCATGTCATCGATGGATCGAGCGGCAAGCGACACTCAAACGTAAGCGTCACAGTCCCGTGGCCGACAAACACGCCAAAAGACAACAGCGTTTCCAAAGAAACCGTGATCCTGCGATCTTTCCGAACTCATAACGTCTGATGAACACCACGTTCCATATCAACAGCGATAATCGAAGGAAGCGCAAAACCTTTGCTTTCCTACCGATACACCGCATCGCGCCGTGGGAAACACGGCATCTGCACACCACCGCACTTCCTTGTATGGAGCCGCTGGCAAAGGGCTTGACACCTCTCAGGCGTGTCTCGAAGGCCAACAATGACGTGGATCAAACGAGCACTTGGTGAGCTCACCCAGTACGCAGGGCTCAAGCACAGCAGTAGGAAAAGGAAGTGCCGAAAGGGATGTCGCGAATAGCATGTCGCGAATAGCCCACGTGCGCGCTCCTTGTATTGTAGAAGGAACAGGAACTTCCATAAACATATTACACGAAGACCAGCAAGAGCAAGATCAAGAGCGCCTTTCAGCAAAAAAAAGAAGGACAGAACATCCTCCGCGACAGCAACCCCATGAACTAGCAGACACTCACATTGGACTCATGGAGGGACAGTCCCAGAAGGATGCTCAGCGCGCCGCCAAGCGACTCTCCGGCAACAAAAATGGGCACCTGGCGGTGGCAAAACAACGAAGAGCGTCAGGACGAAGAAAGACTAGCCCGTCCACGAAACATCCCATCCGGCTTGCAGATCGTCGAGAAAGCGAACAACTTGGGGTTGGAGGTGCAGTTGGGGGTTCGCTGACATCAAAGTCCAGCAGAGAAAAAATAAACGCAACACGCAACAAGGACCATCGCAGTGGAGGTGATCAACATTGCTAGGCCTCTCAAATCGCGGGGGGTGCATATGCATCAACAGCCAACCCATACCGCCTCTATTTGCTCCCTGCGGTCAAAGGCAAAAAAAATAAATATTCTTGTCCCCCACATACATTTACCAAAGAACATGCCACACGCTTGACAAAAACACGCTTGACAAAATCATTCCATAAAACATGCAACAACACCGTCAAAACTATACCTGCCCAGAAGGTTCGCTCTCTTATGTACATGGCACCCACTCACCTCTTGGAGTCGTTTCCGTTGGGCCGCCGTGGCAGTCAAAACATGCGGCGCGACCACCGCCGCTCCGTCTCCAGCTCGCGATGGGCCTCCGCGTGAGGTGTCTATTCTATCCCCTGCCACGAGCTCTAGAAGCTGTACAGTATTTAATTTCCGGGCAGGCAAAAGGAGGCACGTGCGCGTCCATAAGTTGTCAAGCGATACCAAGCGCGATCACGTACCCTGCGGCGACCGGTGCGGTTTGATGCCCACGTGCGGCTTCGCAACAACGTCAACATGTACAGCACACACACACAAGTCCCGTAACGCCTGAATGAGTTGCTCCACTCTTATCGAAATACGTCTGTCACTGGGCCTAGGCTGCTGATAAATTTATCCGAGCCGAGTACCGTTCACCCGCTTGCCTACCTTGTCAAGCTGGAGCGTGGTCACAACTACCATGGAGCAACACGACCCGACGACATAAGTCTACAGCTGGACGAGCAAAACACCACCGCCCTCTCTTACAAAGCTACAAGCGTTTCGGTACTCGTATCCTTCCACGAAGACCAGCCGAGGCCATCGGCGCTGCCTGGGTGACACCTACATACCCATGCCTCAGAAGCATAGCCGTAGCTGTCAACAGCGCCCTGAGGGAGGGCAAGCTAACCCTCGTGCGTGCCGGGACGTTCGCCGGAAAATGGCTTGCCACCCAAGACGTTGGTGCTCCCATGTTGAGAAAGACCACCCCTGGGATCGACGGGGTCTTCGTCAACATGAGTAACACGCAGTTCTTGGGTGGCGAGCCGTTTCCGCTGAACGTCTCGGTACACTCGAGGTATAGCTCAGGGCGCCACCTAAGTGATAGCTCCAGCTGGGCTTCTCAGCGTGCCCCGCCACCCACACTGCTCGCCGGACTCCACCCGGCCGGGAATTATTCTGAATCGAATGCATCATCCTTCATGCGACCCTCGCGACGCAAAGCGCCATGCTGAACGAGCTCCGGTCCAATGACTGCTGAGATTATGCCCGAAGAGCCTACGGCGCACAACGACTAATACTCAAAACAGGTGATCTCTCGCCTCACCGCCCCTAGGTTCGGGGAAAGAACGGCAGTGGTGATGGTTGCGATGGTACACATAAACACGAACCAAAAACGAAAACCAAATGAGCTAGCACCCCGCCCTGCCGACCCTCTCGTCACCTGCCGGTAGTCGTCCACCCAGTGGTTGTAGTCCTCGATATAAGCGCGCTCACCCCCGGAGTAGCCGTGCCCCTCCAGGTCCATCTGGTACATGCACAGCCCCTTCTGCGGCATGGACATGCCCATCTGGTGCTTTCGAGGGGAGTTGCAGTGCGCGCCATAGCTGCGAAAGAGGAGGCGGGGGTCGGGGGGAAGGGGTGAGGGTAGGCCCGAAATGCCTCAGGACTACGTCCGGAAATCTCGGCGACTAGTCGGAATCTTTTGCAGTGGTGGATCACACCCACGCCTTGCCAGGAACACTAAGCGAGATCGTTGGCTCTGACGGCGCCGATAAAGAAGGAGTCCTTCCGAGCACGCCTCGTGAGGTCAGATCTACAACGGTACTTCCGCTCAAGCGAGGTCAGGGAGAAACAAAACCTGGTTTGGGGTGGATGTGACTCCACAGGTCCGACGTAGCGCAACACCTTGTTGAACATGTACTCCACAAAAAGACAAGATGCGGCACACTGCCGGCTTGATAGCAGAAGCAACAGTCGCAATGTTGTTTGTGCACGCGGCGCTAATCGCTGCTAGCGTTTATCTGGGAGAACGAGGCACCCATGTGCCGGTTGGAGTTATAGGTTTCCCAAGGTTGACGTGTGCATAGACATCAAAAATGCACTGCGTGCTCATTACGTACAGTATATACCACGTTGTACGCCATAGAGGTGCAAGACACTGTGTGCATGAAAATATTTTCGCGCGTACACTTCTAATACGAGCGTTATGAAGAGCGAGCTTGCATCCGCATCTCAAAGCTCTTCACTTACACTGTGTGCCATATCATACAATGAACGCCGATCGTGCGGTCTGCGCGGTCACGCGGGAGCGTGTGGAAGCAAAAAGAGCCGTTCTCTTCCAAGTAGGAAAATATGTCTCTTGAAACAGACATACGTATGCGCGCGTGGACTGGAACGATGAAGCTTGCTCTCTGTACAAACGAGGATAGGATCACCCGGAACTGTGTTTCGTCTACCACTGGGTATCACAACACCACCGGTCCTCTCTGGCCTCAATCGTAACACGCCGCTTTTTTCACGTTTCTCCTGCTGCTGTGGACGATGGAAGAGAGGAGCGCATTCAAGCTGACCCCCCAGCTCAGTACTAGTAGGACACCGGCAGTGCTGTTGAGCCGCAGGATCAACCCAGGCGATCCCACAAGAGCGCAATAATTGGCAACCCCTGTACCCCGTGGTTCCTCACTAAGCCTACCTCACAAACAAGGAACAAGACGCAGTTCGAGTGATGAACAACGCAGGAACCTCTACATACCGCCGTTATCATACACGTGTTGGTGTTCAGTCTCCAAGAGAGGAAAAGTACGGGAAAATTCATGTTCCCATTTATTGCGCGAGGACGCCGAGCTGGTCGTTTGACCATGCCCGTGGCCTGCAGATGGCAATCACACGAGCTCTCACCCGTGGGAGAAGAGCACAACGGCCTTGATCTCATCGGCAGACTGCGGAAGGTACGACCTGAAGTGGATGACACGCCCGCGCTGGTTGATGAAGTACTCCTCGCTCTGTGTGTGTCCCGCGCGCGAACAAATACACCCATCAACATCAACAGATGATGGACCGAACATGTAGCGCGTGGGGAAGAGTCAGGGGGAGGTAGATATCTGTCGTTGGTCGACATCGCCGGCGAGATTCCTCTCTTGCCCTCGGCGTTTCCTCCGGGTTGGAGACGAGGGCACGCCCGGAATGTGAGTGATGATTGCCGAGGGGAGAGACTACGACGACGACGCGTTTTTTTTGCGCCATCATCGCAGTGGTCTGCGGTGATGCATGTTGAACCTCGCCCGCGACATATCGACGACACCCCCAGCAATAACAAGTAAATCCAATAGCCGCTTACCTGTGGGAGGTTGTTGAGGCGCACCAACGGCTGTTGGGGTACAGGAGATAACGGCTTGTTGAAACCTGTCCCCGTCTGCTGCCACGGGCGGAACATCGTCAGCAAGCGGGACACGGCGGCCCAGACCAACGACGCCACGAAGTGCAGAGGAACGCCCATGTACGACACCCCCAGCCTCTTCATCTCGTCGGACTTGCCATTGACATCCCCAGCAGTGGTCTTCGCTCCCATATCTTGTTTTGTATTGGAGCTGACCTCGCTCACACCGCCGCGTTGTATATCTACTCCAAATCTGCACCTGCCGTAGTCCTCGGTGCAACGTGAAAATGCGACTGAAATGATCAGCGGGAAATGATAAAGCACATCGACTCCAGGAAAACTGCTGGACTCCATGCAATAAGGCGTTTCGGTTTGGTTCGCGAAAAAAAAAAACGAAGCTTCAAACTGCAATTCAAATTACAAATGTTAGTTGCTAAAAAAACGGCGTAATAAATCACCTACTGTCCGTGAAATTCAAAAATCTATAGGTTTGAAAAACGAGTGATGTACTGCTGTAGCCTTGTTTCCATCTTCCATGATTTTACATCAATATTATTTATTTCTCCTTAAATTCCTAAAACCAGCAAGCTGTCGATAGACACTGCTGCCGGTCCCCTGTGAAGGTTACATCTTACAGTACGCGACACTACGGAGGGATTCTCCCCGATATTTTGTCGTTGACCCAGTAGAGAACTACAGGGGATGTATTGTAAAATGTAGATTTACCTATAGTCTACAGATGTTTTTGTGCTTAGCACCAGCTGGCATCACTGATAAATCATCAGTGTATAGACTTGTAAAGACTCGAAATAAGTCCAGTGCCCAGCCGGTTTTCCTCCACTTACTGAAAAGACTCCACCACATCCCGTTCGACTGTGGGTATATCTCGAATGGGTAGTCTTTCTGTGCGTGTATTTATTTCTCCTTAATTAAATTACTCCTGCATGTAAAGAGACCAGGCTCGTAAAGAGACCAGGCTCGTAATTTCGTGCGCTGCGTTCAGACTGCTGAGTGTTTGTGGTGTTGTACATGCCTCTAGAACGCTGGGCTGCATTGTCTCTTGCGGAATGTGCTACGTTGGCAAAAAGTGCAAAACCGCCTCTCTCTCCGGAGAAATATTTTATGTGCCGCGTTTTGCGCGACAGAAGATACCACACCCCCTAGATCCATTTTCAAAGCTCGATATCACTCGACGGCGAATTGAACAAAAGCAGCAAACGACGTACGACCGGATAGCTTTCGACGAGATGGTCCCAACGCCGCCATTTATTGCACCACTCCTTCTGTTGTGGAGTAATCTAGCTTCGAAAACAAGTCCACGGGGCGTCATTACCTGCGTATCGATGTCCTCCTCAAACAACCACTATTTCTATGCATATTTAAACAGGACGCCAGGAAAAAATGAACCATGCGTGTTCGGATCCTTCGTACGGGTTTGTGTGCTCCAAGTCACACGGGAGCAAAACGCAACAGTGGACGGTGCCCAAAGTCAATGTGCTGCTCCCGTCTGGTCTCTGCACCACATGTTATGAATTTCTCAGAATCATCGTCGACGAGATGAACGGCACCCGGATGTTGTAAACGGGCTCATGAAGCTTCGGTACTGGGGTAACAACTACCTGCGATTTGACCCGGTTGTTGATGGCCGATGTAAGGGAGGTACACACAACGAACACCGTCCGATCCCTGCAACAATATACCAACGGGAATGGAAAAGCTCCGAGGTGCCCGCGCGATGGGGGTGTGGCATAGTGCTATCAAGTTTCAGCGGCTCCTTCAGTGAACTGGTACTACGAACGAGGATCTACATACATACGTGCTACTTTTCCCTGAATATCGCCCACCACGCAAATCTTCCTGCACTTCCATGTGGGGATCGTCATGCTGATTCTTCCCCACGACCAACACAACACACCGTACTGTCCGAGCCAATAACGGCAAGTATGTGCTCACTAAGCTATCAGTATTTCCTCGCCTGGTACCAGCGCGTTCTACTGCACCCGGAAAAGGATGGATTCGCTTGATGCTTAGAAAGAAGTGGTGCTTCAGCCATCAAACTACATATGCAAGCCTAAACCGTCCCGGAGTTATCGGCAGTGGTTCCAGTTGCACCCCAACACCTGCTACCAAGGATACACAAAAAATAATGTTCTGTAAACGACCGGGCGCTGGGGGCGAAGACGCGCATTCCATATGAATTGCGCTTTAGGGGTCCAGGGGTTGCTGAAGGGTAGACCCAAAGCGCTTGACGTACTTCTTCTGCTCCGCCGACATCCTGTCGTTCGGCGTGCGGAAAATTGGCACATTGTGAGTTCAACGCGGGTAGCGGTTGAGATAAGATGGGTTTATGGACGGGGCACAGAAGTGGTGTCGCGGAAGGGACAGCGGGCTCCGCGACACTTGTCCTATCACAATGCCTTGAAAACGCAGCGGCCCACCTGTGAGCCAGCGCACTACCACGGACCCCGCTTCCCCAGTCCCTTTTGAAAACAAGCTCCTGCGAGGACACAGGTGCAGGCGGTTGCTCGACAGATGCGGCGGGGGTGGGGGCAGGGGCAGGGGCAGAGGCGGGGGCGGCGGCCGGTGCCGCTTCAGGCGCCGGCGGCGCTTCCTTCTTGGCGGCGGGTGCCGGCGCTGCCTCCTTGGGGGTGGGCGCGGCTTCCGCGGCCGGCGCGGCTGCCTCTGGTTCTCCCTGCACCGCTTCCGCCTCAAAGTCCTTGAAGGCCGCCACGGAGTCGGCGTCGTCTACGGTAACGAAGATCGGGGTCCCGACGGCGATGTCCTGGGTGCCGGCCTCGACCAGGTGCTTCGCCATGAAGGAGTCGTCTTGCGCGTCGAAATCTACGGTCTGAGGAGTGACACCAGCGGCACAACAAAAGAAGTCAACAAAAAGTTCAGCGTGCGGGAGGGAAGAAATGATGTCGACTCGGAAAGGCATCGTGCCGACCAGCAACTACTTCTCCCTATCGTCCTCTCGGCAGGTTCACCGCTACCGGTTGCCGTGCAAAACGAATGGCTTTTCGTGGTGACAAGAAAACACTACGGTCTTCTGGGTGTGCGCTACAAAGGCACCGTAGCAGCACCCCGCAGGAACTGCTGAAGGCGTCTGAAGCAGTGTTTCGCGAAATGGCGCTGAAGGTGCGTGTCTACCTTTCAAGACCGTGCCTGAGCTGTAGAGCGGTGACATGCTGTATTGTGTACGCTATCGCGTATACTTCGCACTCCTTGGGCGAGATTGCCCAGCGTTCAACCTCGAAGCACAAACGGGAAGTGAAGCACGCGAAGAAAAAAAACGCCAAGAAAAGCGTACAAGTGTGTCTGAAACGCAGCAGAGTCTTACGAGCTAGTGCAGCGGTTTCGATCCATCGCGCCACACCCTTATCCTAACTAAGCCTGCCCATTGACGATGCAATGCATGGCGAAAAGCCGTAGCTCGCATGCCTCGAAACAAAAACGCAGGGTCAACGCCAATATTTTCTCGGTATGCCTGAATGGGATTCCAGAATACTAGAGTCTCACCGCCTTGTCCGTTTCAACCTCGCATACAACGTCTCCCGCCGCGATTTCGTCCCCTTCCTGCTTGCCCCAAGAACCGATGTTACCGTGCGTCATCGTCGGGGAGAGCGCTGCGTAGTTTTGCGGTGAACCGAGACGCAGCAAGCAGACGAAGTGTTGATGTCGTGAGGCATACAATATTGCACTTTGAACAGAGAGGGATTGAGAGAGATCAGCTAGGGCAGCAGTCGCGTCCTGGGAAAAGGCAGAGGTAGTGTACTGCTACGGATGGGGTACCTATGGTATACTTTGTATCTCGCCCGTCCGATTTGCTTTTCGCAAACCTGCATGAACCTCCTTCCAGCCACTCTACTTAGTGCGGTAGAGCCGAGGGCTGCGGGGGCGCGCGGCAGTCCGATTGTACTGCCATGGAGATGGCTCGCAACACTGCGGGCGCACATTCGTTTTGCGCGAGGTGCTTCATGGAGGCAGAGGTCATAGACTACGCCGAGAATTGCAGCCACTTCAATAGTGGTCGCCGTTGTGTTGGTGAGACCGCTGTGCGTGCAGTATGACAGGGGCCGGGAAGTGTATGCATGTGTTTGTAGAGAAGCAACAGGATGTATGCGGCGAGTCGGGAAATCCGGTCCCCAACACCAATTGCTGCTGTAAAGTTGTTTTCCATGTGAAAATTCCATTCAGCTCGAATACGTACCACGGTGAGAACTACACATGTATAAGGTATATGTAGTAACAGGAGACAGGTGCACAGCTGCGTAGACCGTGGTGGAAGGCAGGTTGTGGCACACGTCTTTAGAATAGTCATGAATGAGCAAAACACGCTTGGCTGTTGTCATCAACTTGGAGCAATACGGCTGCCACCTGATCCTACAGGTGCAGACGAAGCAAGAAGAGGTGTCCGATCTACGCGCGCAAGAGACTTGTACTATATCAGTCGTTTGGTGTTGTCGGCGGTTGGCGTAGTATGCATACAATGCAGAACTTCTGGGTAAGGGAGGTGGCACTGATTGGCGACGGTTCGCAGGTGCACGAGAAACGACAGCACGATTATTGTATTGTCAAACCAAGGCTGCTTGACCGCCTTGGTTGCGCCTTGCAGCAGGTTGCCAACAACGGAAACGCTGGCGAAGTGAACGATATGATGATTTCCGAGCTCTCAAGATGCCTGTCCTTGGAGGTGGTGGATGAGAACCAAAATGACCGTGACACCACTGCACTCTGTCTGCTGTACATACCTGGCATGCCCACTACGATGTGATCCGGCAGGGACGATAAGCTTCTCGTGTTCACCACAAGTTCAGCACTCCGCCTACTCGCTACTTGTCTCGTTCCCCGACATTGTGTTGCCAGGACACTTGCAGCCAATGTGGATGTTCTTCGGCATGCCATCATGTTGTGTGAGAGACACGCACTGCTACGCAGACGAGCGCTGTCGGGCGATGGCGAGCGAGATAGCGAGCAACACCACGGCCGTTGAGGAGCACCGTGGAATCGAACACCCCCCCCCGGAACCACAACTCCACCACACAACCCGAGTAGTGCATCGACCACAAGCAACCTCGCCACGCCTTGAGAGGTTGCTACTGTCATGAAGCGTTACCAGAAGCTCCTGGGCCCTATTTTGTTGGGTTTGTGCGCTTGGGGAGTGGTCCGAGGGTACTGTGCAAAGCAAGGGGAATGCAGGCAGCCGATCCTAGATGTCATCGAAGTGGTGAGCAATCTTCCTATTCCGCCGCTCCCAATACACGCTGGCAGAGGATCCGTTGACGACAGCTACAGCAGCAGATGGTCTATGCTTCCGAAATAGTGGTAGCGTGGGGCAAACAGTAGTAGACTACTACATATGGTAGTAGATTACATGAAGAGCATGGTACCAATTGTTGTATCCACGCGTCATGCGCTACTCTGGACATTTGTCTGGGGTTCTCCATTCTGTCGGCGTAGCCGTTGTCGGATACTGTGAGCTCCCGCCGTGCCTTTCCCGTGCTTACGCGGAGTCGGAGCTTGGTGAGCAGTGTTGCCACAAATTGGTTTGACACATCTCGGTCATACGGCAGAGTGACTGATTCGATTGATATCCTCGTAGGCCCATCTGAGTTTAGGTTGTGGGTTCGAATAAACACTCGGTAGACTACAATGTACAATTAGTACACGTGACAAGCTCGCATGTAGCAATTGTCCGCGATTACCGGCATCCGTCATCGGGCTTCAAGACCTACCAGGAAAGAACATCGACGAGCCTCTGGTAACCCGGTACAAAGAAAATCAACATCTCAACATCCTACAGAGTGCTGCTACGGTGATAGGTGGGAATGGAGCACACATCGAGGCCACAAAAGGGGGCGGCGGCAAGTGGAATGCAGTACGTCTAGTCAAAATTGGGGTTAGTCCGCGACCACAGCTTGGGTCAGTTAGCACGAAAGACAAGCCACGGGCGGGAACTGCTGTTCGAGATTTCGTTGCTGTTCGTCGTCCGACATTTCTAGGCGCCAGTGCAACCTGTTTGGAATATGTTTGCCGCACCAGCCAGGGATACAAAGGAGGGAGTATCCACCCGCTGTGGTGTGCGGCTTTAATTGTTAATGGCACGGGAGTTGCAATCGCTTCCCTCTATTGTCGGCTGCTTTATGCACTACACTGCAGCCAAATGTCAGTTATTGTTGCCCCATAAACGTGTTTGCACGTGCACAAAAATTGTCGGTGCGTTCTTGATACGTATACGATTGTTCCCCTGCAGTATAGGCGCCCAACCCCTGTGGCAAATCTGGAAGGACGAACGATCCTTCCACCTCGTGGGACTAACTGATTGCCCCATCCCCTGCCACCTTGGTTTGCAGCACACAACGCCAACATATACTTGGAACCGTTATTTTTATGTGCACCAGCCTTTGGATGCATCGAGTGTTCCTGGCCATGCACGCATTTGGAGGCAGATTGTAAATTCTTAGTTTTCGAGTCATGCTGGCCAAACACGACAAGAGTCAGGTGTTACCATGCTGACATATGTTTGCATTCCATCAGAGGAGGAGAGATGGCACCCCCCCTGGATCGACTTTCGAAGCTCATTTGCTCCAGAATCAAGGGGGTTCTGAAAGAGACGATACATGGACGGGAAGCCCTCGTTGAGGCTGGTCCAAAACCACAATTTCGCTGTGGACACAAGTTTGGTTGGGAAGCTATCGAGGTTTGAAATCAGTCTAGTCGGGGTGCCATCTCTCCGCCTCTGAAGGTACACACCCTCGTCTGTACCTCAGTTTTGATTGCCAAGTTTGACCGGCTCTGTCCCCACCCCCCCCGCTCCCCCATTCGTGCGGAACATCGGGCTTGCTGTCAATCGAAACACGGCATGTGCAAGCTGCCCATGTACAACTTGATCGTATTTGGCTGCTACGCGCTGGCGAAAATTGGACTAGGGTTGATTGCGTTCAAGGACTGTTCCGAGGATGCTGCGCTCCTTGATGAGGTGAGCGCATACTGAACCTCGTGGATTTGTTGGGCAGATCTACGATGCCCACGTCTTCTCCGTGCTGCCATTGTATCGTGCGTTGGTTTGTGGACCCTTTCACAATTTGTTCTAGGTATTGTTATACCTTTGAGATCATAGGTCTTGACAGAATGATGGGTATTTTCCTCGTTGTCGTTTTTATTTCGAAGAGGTTTCGCAGTTTAATGGTAGCTTTGCGTGCTCTAGACTTCTATGCCGGTCTGGCAGTCCCTCAATCCTGGAAGGGAAATAGCTCGCGTGGGTGCCTCATTGTGTCTACCTTTGTGAAATGCTCATATTGCCGCGCCCCCGTGTTCCCGCACTTTGCCTCTCTTGTCGTGATCGTCTCATTTGCTGTCTTTGTTCTCCGCAGGATATCCAGGCTGCGAGAAAAGATCTCACGAAACGTGGATTCAAGTTTTGATAAGCGAAAATCGTTGCTACCCTCTGGCACCCCTTGCCATTTGTGCGGAAGGGCCCCTGCCAATTGTTTTGTTCTGTCACGTTGTCCTTGTTATTTTGGAGAAGACGAGGTGCATCGCGTTTGACCGGGCTTGTTCGTTTCCGTTTCCGTGTTTCGAGATGGTCGCTTAGAAATGAAACTTGGTCGCTCTGTGATCAGGGTAGCGTGTTGTTGCTGTTGATACTGTACCTGTACGTAGAATTTATGTATTCGGCAAGCCATTTGTCGCGAATGGTCGTTAGTTGAGGAGGGTATACGTGGCGCTGTAGAAGACATAGCTTGGGTGCCGCGGAAGAGACATTTTGGAAATCTGTAGCATGGGGAGTTGAAAAATAACCTGACCATGGGACCATTAGGTCTTTACCAACAGCAACCTTCTCAGGTGTAAAACATCGGCAATATGGCGTGCGTTTGCGTGTTGCACCGTACAGACCACATGCCCGCTGCCTGTCTGGGTGATGGCATGAATGGTTCCTTCTCTGCCAAACGCTTTCCACATTCAAAGCGCTAATACGATATCGATACAGCTGTGTCGACGACGTTCGGTTTTGAACATTGTTGTATCGATGTCCATTGCCCCGAAAAATCATTGCAGATGGTCGACACGTATGCACAACACTATCTTTCCAGTCACGGCTCATGTCACAACTTTCGAAAGAAATTGAGTTAGACAGAAATTGAGCCGAAATCAAGGCGAACAATAAAGGTCCGAAGCAAGAAATTGTACACCCCCCCTACGTTCTGGGTAGCTGGGGGAGTGTGTCCAATGAGACACGTCCCGTCCCACTGCCCCTTCCGTGCTCCCACCCCCTTGCCTGGCAAACATTTGTTTTCGTGGGGGGGGGAAGCGAATAGTTTCTCGGTGCTCGCCGCGCCCCAGCGACAACCACCTGGAAGGTGAATAATTCGACGTTGACTCAACTTGGTTGACTGCACAACCCAAGCCTATTGCAATGCGTGCAGCAAGCACCATGCAGAAAAAAGACATCAATTGCATTCCAAAGCAGAACCAGCCGGGATGCGACAGCGGCAGCCCTCTATGAAATCCAAATGGAAATCCAAATGGACTACTTCTGCTGGTTCTTCGAACCAAAATATGGAAGCAGGATTGGCTGGATCGATGTTTGACGTTATCTCAGGACCCGTCCGGTATGTATGTCGTCTGGTCCTGCCGCTGCTGCCTCCACAGCTGCTCTGCCGAATATTGAATATCGGTGCGACCGTGGAGGTACCATCATTCATTCTGCTGACCACTACCATCGCTCATGAGCACGAGAGGAAGCGCGGGTTCATTATATAGTAAATGTACCAATTAAGAGACACCCCCCATTAAGAGACACATTTTTTCAAATGCACATATCTCGGAGCACAATCCGCGGGGACCCCTGATTTCTTTTTCAAATTTGCAAGCGTTCCGTTAGCTTTCGTTTGAGCACTTCAGCGTCCCGATCGGGTCACGCACCCACGAGATAAGCAACACCCGCTCCCACACCCGTGATGCGGGGCATTTTCATCCCTGTGGCGGGTCTGTTGCTAAGCATTGCGAGCATGGGCCAGGATGAGACATTTGTGGCCCCTGGCTGGATCGATCCCAATTTTTTTTTTTTCTACATAGACATGAGTTGAAGCAAAGCGTATACGAAAAAAGTCAGGTCTTGAAACGCTTTGGATCTCACGCAATCACCACATCTTTAAAGTGTCTCTTAACGGGGGCGGGGGTGTTTCCCACCGTATTATCCCGGAAAAATTAGGGGTATTACAGGAGCCATATCTTCCCAGCGCTTACGATTTTTTTTTTTTTTGGGGAGGTAGCCTGTGATGTTAGCTATCATACGATACCTCGACGTCAACGATATTCGTCCTAATAGTCAAGAACGAGCTGTTTGAGCGGAGGGTGGCTTAAGTGTTTTACTCTAGTGTTGTGCATTGTGTAGTATGCATTGTGCATGAGATATTTCAAGATGTGGCACTGGGGGCCCGGAACGTGTACCCGCCCAATCCATCTGGGGGAGCCGTGGATCATTTCCTGTTGCACAGCGCAAGCGCAGCAGACAACCGACACACACGCTGCCCGTTAGCCTTCTACTTCCGCCCACAAGCTTGTGCTTCAACTGTACGCGTAAGCCTGCATTGCTTGAAAAGACGAGCGCTTCTTATTAACAGTCACCAGCTAGTTTCGGGGTGTGTGGAGGGTCACACACACAGCAAACGCGGCGGGTGTTCTTCAACGGAGAACGCTCCACACGGAAGCAGGCAAGGGCAGCAGCATCATGTCTGCGTTCGGGCTGGGAGGAGGGCCAGGAGGCTTCGGGGGTATGGGCATGGGCATGGGGATGGGGGCGCCTCGCGGTTTCGAAGAGCAGTATCATTGCTACCCTGTCTCTTTTCAGGTAAACCAACAAGAAGAGCGAGCGAGGTCTCATCATTAGGAAGTTGACGATGTCTGTGGAACATCGCGGCGTGGTCTACAGCAGTACAGGTAGATGCGACGCATCGGGCGAGCAGAGTCCGTTGTTGGACCATGGTGACATTCCGGGTAGCGGCGTTGGGGTACCGCTGTGTAGAGTGCGGCAAGTGGCCTGGAGCACGGTGGTGTATTTTGCACGTTTCGTCTTTCGAATGGTGAGGTCGTTGCAGTGCTATGCATACTTGCTGTGTCCAACGTCACAGCATTGCCACATCAACCTCCCAACGTGCACTATTAATACAACGTTGTAGACTGTAGGGAAGAGGTGACCTGTTGAAGGGTGCTCCCATCATCGAGGCAACCGAGAAGACTCTTTTCCACACTGCTTGCATCCACGCGGCCTCGTTTCACTTGCGGAGGATTGCAGTGTCACGTCGGAACACGCCCTTTTCTGGATGGCACCCCCTCCTTTCACACATCTCGTTTGGGGCGGACCACAAGCTCATGACGTCGACGCCCGAAGGGTCACAGCCGTATCGCTGCCTGTGACGAGACGAGAGAAGGTCCACTGGGTCTTCCTGGTGATACCAATATCCTCGTGCCTCGTACTGCTGCAAAGGCTCGTGTTTTCGCTTGTTCCCGGTGCGCTCTGTGCGTTGGGCAATCTGCCGCGGAGCAATATTTTTTTGAGGCGAGACTCCCGAGCGTGCAAACCGCGTTTTGGAGACGCATCAAGCTGAGAATACGAGAAGAAACAAAACAGCAGGGATCAACAAGGAATGCTTTCATATATCCTGCAACATCGCCTTCGATTCGCCTGTCAATTTTGAAAAGGCCGGCCGATAGGAAATATATTGGGCATTTGTATCCGACCAGCGGTCTTGGTGTGTGAGCATTATGTGAAAAACTTGTACTGGGGGAATCTAGCAAGAGTGGTCCGTAGACACGCCTTATCCCAGGGTAGAAGGGCACGTAATATGAAAATCATGGATGTACTAACACTGCTGTAGGTCGTAGATTTGTCTGCACCGACGAAACTTGTAATTTTGTGGTGGTCGCCTGCTGGTACGGGTTATTGGTCTTGGTGCACTGCCTACACCGCAAGACGACTACAATGTCAGTTTCACGTTCGTACAGCAGTTCCCGCCTTCGTACTCTCCGGAATGCCAGGCACGCCAAATACAACTTTTCCCTTCATCCCACTCGCACTCCTGCTCTTGTCTTTTATGTTCCCGTGCATGGCGCACCATGAGAGTACCTGTTAGAATTTTTGGCGTTGTTCCCCTCGCACGAGAGTCTCATGCCTGCCTGCCTTTGTACGGTGGTCAAATCCTACTTCTCCATGCGCCCTTTCCGGGAATATCTGGGCGCCGGAGTTCGTGTATCATGATGGTTCCTGTCCTTTGTTCTCGGTGTATTTTGGGGGGAAACCATACTCCGTTGCGGGGAGACGCAAGAGGGTTGCCTAAAGAGCACGCTTTTTCATGGACACCAGTCCCGGAGCCTTGCTGCCCTCTACCAAAGCATTACAATCCGGCAACATGGAGAGGCTGCGTTTCGATCCGCCTGCTGTCTGTTCGGAGTTTTGTACCATCTGAGGTGCAGTAGGGCTACCCTGGTGCTTCCGTTGCGATGGGCGCATCCCCCCAGAGCACCCTTGCACGCTAGTCGTGCTTCCCGCTTTGATCACGATGCGCATGTTCGCCTGCTTTGTTGACCTATCGGCTTCATTCAGGACAAGGAGCACCTGGAGGCCGGAGACAAGATTCTCCTCCCTTCCTCGGCCCTTGACGCGCTCGCGAGACAGCAGGTCGAGTACCCCATGCTCTTCGAGCTGTCGAACCCCTCCCAGGTGGGTAGCGTTTGTGTTGGACCGCACCACAGCTCATTGCTGGTTGGTTACTCGAGACACGTAGGCCAACGGGTAGTGCCTTGCCTGGACGCACGGCCTAGTGCTGTTGTGCAACTGTTTCGTGGGCGTCGTGCGGGCGTGTGGTTGGTCTTAGTGATGTACTTGGCACAGCGGCTGTGGCGGGGAGGGCTACACTCGTCGTGTGTGTTTGTGTTTTGCATCCACAAACTTCGCGCAGACCCAAAAGAAGGTGTGTTTTTGTGTTGACGTAACTCCAGCGGCAGCCTCCACAAACTTCGAAATTCTAACGCGAATTTTGAGGCTTAACCGGGATAGTAGTGCTGTGCTCGCATGCGTGTGAACAGTAGTAGCTCCAATGAAGGGAATTACCGCACCAATCACTTTACGGCGCGTTCCAAGTTGGATTTGTAGTGCATGTGATATGTGTCGTTGTTCGGATCCGTACCTGATGATAACCTTCCTTGGGTCGATTTGGTTCTCGCCGGCATGGGCCCACGCCGCCTCGTCAGGGAAACCGGACCCACTGCGGTGTTCTCGAGTTCTCTGCCCCCGAGGGGAGCTGCTACATCCCTCACTGGATGATGCAGAACCTCTTGCTGGAGGCGGGCTCCCTGCTCACGGTGAAGAACGTTTCTCTTCCCAAGGTGTGGTGTGTGGAAGACAGCACTGATGCGGCTGAAAGGTGTCTTTCGTTTTGTTTGTCTGCGTGACGTGTATGAGGACGGCCAATCGCCAGGGGCGAGGGGGGCCTTTTGCGTATCTGAACGGAAAGAAGCGGCACTTGAATCGATTGTTTTGTCAAGCTTTTCCCTGTCCGGAGGGGAAGGCGAGGTGACGAGGGGATCTCGGTTGGGCTCGATCGCTGTTCTTCTCTCTGGTCGAGTTTTTTTTTTTTACTGTCAAGAGGGCCGTCGCCGCGGTGAAAACATGCCTGTTGTATGCATAGGGAGGAGGTATATCGTCCAGGGTGCAACTTGGGAACGGTTCGGTTTCGCTCTCACTCCCGACAACACGATTCAATATGTTCTCGTGCGGGTTGGTTGTTCTCTATGCAATTGTGGGCGCGCCTGCGTGTGTTTTCTAGGGCACCTTCGTGAAGTTTCAGCCTCAGTCGGTGGACTTCTTGGAGATCAGCAACCCTCGCGCGGTCCTGGAGAC